AAAAGCGTCGATTCGATCTTGGAGGACTGCTCGAAGAAGTCCAGCATAAACGCCGCTGTCCAGCAACATGTTGTGACCATCGCCTCGTTTCAAGTCAATCTCCAAGAGGTGATTCTCTTGGCCACCTTGCTGCTTCCATGCCCTTGACAGTGTAAACCCTTCAGATTCTCCTGCATAGAGGTGCACAAGAAAGCCGTCTCTCTGCAAACGCTTTCGTTGGCGCCGATTGACCGGCAAGTCTTTCCATTCTCCAATGTCAGTGACCAGTCGGCTTTTGATTCGGTCTGGAAGGTCTCGTAGAACTGGATGACTCTGCACTAAGTCTTCCATCCATTTTTTCTCCTTCTCAAAACCTACACTTTTCATCTTCTTTTGCATTCCTGCTGTTTCCATCTCTTCTATCAAGTCCAAGGCCAAAGTTCTGGGAATCTGTGGGCAGCCATCTCGGTTTTGCACTGGAAGTGGTCCACGTGTTGGATGGGTGACCTTCAAGATTCCATCAGCCCAGGTTACCTGACATTGCAAGTCTTGGACAAGCTGTCCCATTGGCAGAATTGGCTCGACGTCATGTCGATCTGTGACCATGATGCCACCTGGAGTCACCTGCAAAGAAGTAGTTTCGCCATTGGCAAGGGTCACTGAAACCCGCTTGTAGGTGGTGTCGCATTCACCTGGTCTTCGAGGACGCAAAGGGTGTGTGGCACCAGAGTCGATCAAACCTTGATGCTGACCATGTGAGATCTGATTGATCTTAAACACCTTGAGCTTCAGTTGGTTCAATTGTTGTTGAAGTCGGCCCATCACCTCGTCCTTGGTCTCAGTGGCTCCTGCAGTAGAGCTTGAAGAGGAAGTCGTTGTAGAGGAAGTCAATGACTTGAGCATAGTGTTCGCCTGTTCCAGCAACTCCTTCATTGATGCCGATTCATTGGATACCTCCTCCTCTTTTCCTTTCGTAGAGCTCGTGGGTGAAGAAATCTCCTCCCCCTCAGCCTTCTGAATCCTTGGCTTCTGTGGTGATTGATCGCTTTTTTCCTTTGGACGTGGACACGCTGGTGACATGTGGTCCGGACATCCGCAATTCCAGCATCTTCTTCTATCGTCTCTTTGGTCGTGAGACCAACTGCATGTTTTCCCTCTTCTGCATCCTTGGTCGGTCAAAAAGAACTTGCATCTTCCCTTCTCCTCCTTCGGCTCCTCGCGCTTCGTTGGTGACCTGCTTTCTTCTTCAAGTTTCTTCAGCTTTGACACCTTCACCTTCTCGGGCTCGGTTCTTTTCTTCGAAGCATTTGAGGTCTCCTGATGCACCACCTGTTCAAAAACTCAGCAGCCAAGTGAAGTGCAAAGGAAGTCACCGAAGTCGAAGTTGGGGTTGAGTCCACCTGCAATGTCGACCTTGCCAAACTGATCCTGAAGCTAAGATCTCGATTGGCCTCCAAGGGTTTGCGGATGATTCTGTTGAGTCCCTTCAAAAGCAAAAACGGGTCTGGCTCTGAAATTTGTAGGTCAGCAGCACGTCTTCGCCATCGAGACCATCTGCGAAGGCTTTGCACGGCCTCCACCAAGGTCGTTGATTCAGGAGGAGCTTCAAGGGACCTCAAGATCAACTCCTTCTCCGCAAGACCACCTGGTTGATAGGTGACAAGAAGTTGGCATACTATGGACATCGCACTCAGTCTTTTGGCTGAGATGAGCTCTTCTCTTTGGCCTTCAGGAACTGCCATCAGCAACAACGTAGATGCTCGACGTTCAAGTCGTGCCCATTTCTGTTTGGCCAAATCCTTTGAAGGAACTGGTACATGAGCTACTCGATCCAAGGGTGGTAGTTGAAGATGACGCTGATACCACAGGTGTGCCTCCATGACAAGTTGTTGCCACCATTGCGCACTGGAGTTGCTCAGGTCACACATCATCGTCTCGATCAAAGCCATCCAATCATTGAGGTCAATTGGGCCCGTTGTCGCACTCCATTCTGCAAGACTTGGAAGTGCTGGGGCTTGCCGGACTGATTCAGTCCCTGTTTCATCATCCTTTTGCTCCAGCATCTGACGTTGAATCGCCTGCATGCCTTCCATGAGCTTCAGCATCACTTTCACTGTGGTGGGTTCCTCATCCATGCCTTGCTTTGGGGGTCTTTCAGCCTCCTGTGAATCGGCGGTCTTCGATCCTTGGCGGCTAAAGGGCTTTGGGGGTCTATCAGCATCCTGGGGGGTCTCAGCCTCCTTAGTGCTTTGGTGGATACGCTGGCTTCCCTTTGGTGGTCTGTCAGCCTCCTGGGGGGTCTCAGCCTCTTTCAAGTGGTCTCCATTTGGGGTGGAAAACTTCTGATCTTCTTCGGATTGGGAGGACTGCGCCTTCTCAAGACGTTCAACCTTTTCCCTTAATCTTCTATTCTCTTCCATCATTTCTTCAATCCCTTTTTTCAATTCCAAACTCTCTTGAACTCCAACCGCTGGCATGTATGGGTAAACAAACTGCGAACCCATCCCAACTGTTTCTTGCATCCTACGTTCATCTTGGTCAAGAAAAAGTGGTCTTGAAACTGGAGGTGCTATGGCTGGAGGGTGGTATCCCATGTGACCACCTGGATACAGCCAAGGGGCTTGATAGAAAAGTTCTTGAAATCTTCGAAGTTGTTGATCGTCAAAAAGGGGCTGTTGCACCGGAGAAACACCAGATTGAGCTCCCGGCGTCTGCACTGACATGGGAACTTGTTGCAGGTGCCCAGAAACGTCTGATGCTCTTTGAAGATCAGTCGACCCTCCATTCTCAACCTTTTTGGAGTCTGCCGCAATCACATCAGTCACGGCTGGTGCTAGCGCTCCATGTTGGACAGCTATGGCTCCTTGGGGTTCAGCTTTGGCCTCAAGAGACTGCGCTGGTGTTTTTACCTCAGTTCTCACCTGACTTTCAGGAGTCACAGGCGGTACCTGAGATTTTTCCTGATCAGGAACAGCCGGCACAAGGGGCTTCGGGGAACTTCTAGGTCCATCCACTCTTCCCAAACTCTCTTCCTTCACGGGTGATTTGGGGGTTTCTGGAACCATGGTTTCAGGGCCCTTTGTATCTTCTAGCTGCATTTCTGATCCAGTTGCTAGTTCAGCCTCCACACGCTGCTGGGCTCGAAGCATCTCATCAGCTCCTTGATCCAGTTCAGCCTGCGTAGCCCTTCTTCTGGAAAACATTTCGGTCAGAGCTGCGTTGGGCTCATAACCTAGTAGAAACCAGGTCCGCCCAAACCAGAATCCTCGCCTCCAAAGGTTCCAAGCAGCTGCGGTTCAACAAGGTTTTGCATCCATCGCTGAGGTCGTTCGGCGATCTTCGCTTGACAAAAGGTAGCTGCAGCGGCAGCATATGAATTGATGGTTGAATTGGAAAATGAAACTGGCAAATGGTAAAACTGTATGGGAAATGCTATCACATCAGCACACGGAAAGGACATCCACAAATTTGGGAAGGTCCCATCGCCTACCACACGTTTGTACAATAATGATATATGGTAAACTTGGGGGGTATCGCTTGCAGGAAACTGCTGCATTTATATATATATATATATGTGATGAACTATGAATAATATGTGATATTTGGGTATCGCTAATGTGGATATTAGAGAAATATGATGACACAACCTTGAAAAGGGGTATCGCTAATTTGGGAAGGTCCCATCGCTTACCTCGTGCTTTTAACAATTTCCATCAATTTCCATAAACCAATGTCCGTCGAGTACATATTTAGTATTGCCGGGGTTTTTACGGTTGCTCATATATTTGTCAGTAATGTAAATCGCAGAAAATAGACCATTGAATCCCATGAGTAACACCATAAATCCCCTTCCAACCTCCTTTTCTTCGACCTGCGGTTCTCTCATATTCCTGCTCTTCAGTTTTCTTCTTTGCCAGCCACTCATCCCACTCACGCTCCTGCTTTAAAGGGATGGACCATGATGGACCAATGGATAAACCAGACTTTGAGAAAGGATGAGAAAGGAGTTTCACAAGTTACTACTGAAGCATATCTGCTGAGTTCTTTTCACTGGGTGTTGTTTCACCCTGCGTGTCCCCTGACTCACAGCCAAGGGAAATTGTTGGCTCATCCTGCCGAAGCTGATCACACGGGCTTAGCGGCTTAGCCTGCAGCTTTTTTCCGTAGCCGCCCTCTACATTTTACAAGTTGAATGTGATCGAACGTGTGCAGAGTGTCGGCTTCGATGACATTGCCTCGACGGCTAATAGCCCCCGTGCCGGATCCTTCTTTTGCGTCGCCGTAGTGTCGCCAAGAGATTTGATTGATCAATGGAATCTTCGGCAGCACGAATTTCCAAAGCTGCAGTACAAAAAAACAGAAATCCAGGCATACATTGCCGGGATCTTCATAGTCAATCATCATTCAAATTCATTCATACACCATTTAGTCACCAATCTTAGATACCCTGCATGACAAATTCTTAGCTGGTGAACGTAGACAATCCCATTGATTAAAAAAATGCTAAAGGATTAGTTTCTACCCATCTAAGATTGACCTAGATATGTCCATAATGTTCCCTTGATCTTCCCATGTTTGTTGGTTAACTTCTCCATATAATGGCTGTAGATCCCATCAAACTAATCATCAGATCACTATACTAATATAATGAGTATATACCAATGATTGACCTAGTATAGTTATAGTGGTGTCCCACCACAGGTTGAGCATTTCCCTGTCCCAATCATCATTCATTTTTATTGATACACCGTTAAATCACCATGAAATTCCAAGAAAATTCCAGCAAACCATGGCCAATCTTAGATACCATTTTCGTTGCTTATCTGCAAATCTAGCATAGCTATGGAAAATGACCCATCAATTTCCAGTAAACCATGCTTAGATGGGCCATGGGATGAACTAACTGGTTAGTAACTGGGGATTCTTTACCTCCAAAAAATCTCAATTATGATCCATTTACTAACTAGTTTTCCCTAACTCCATGGCCCATCTAAGTGGATTTTTCAACGTCACCAAGTCACAAACGTCACCCGCGCCATCTGCTGCAAGCGCCGGCCGGAGCCCTCGGCTTCGTCCTCGCCTTCGGCTTCGAGGCGCCGCTGGGCACAGGAGGCGCCGGACTGGATGGAGACGTCCTGGCGATGGATTTCAACAGATATTCGGTGATTTCACGGGATTTCACCCGCAAAAATTCGGTGATTTCTAGGCGATAAATAAGGATTTCATGGTGATTTAGTGGATATAACCTCTGAAAAATGATGGAGTTAAAGTCAGTTGGGATGATGACATTGCCAACTGAATGGGAAAATCAAAAAATGTTTGAAACCACCAACCAGTAAGTGAGGTCTAGGCTATAAATAGGGAGTCATGGTG